CCTCAGCAGAGATGAAAACAACTTTGAGGCTCTCTGTCAGGGCTGGGGGCAGGCAGGATGTCCAGGAGAGCTAGACAAAAGAAAAATCTATGAACGAGGACATTCTTGACATTGAGTGGTTCTTTGCAATCAGCAGTGTTTTCACCCACAGCCCACCAGCTCCAGGCAGAGGCTGGTGTGCAGGACAGTGGACAGCTGAGGCCAGAATAACCTGGGTTAGGGCATATCAAGATGCTGATGTCTCAGCTGGTCATGAGAAAGAACCAGACAAACCAAGTGTAAGGTGGGGCTGGGCAGACAGACAGAACCCAGGACAAAGCAATGCCAGTGCAGAGTCCAAAGGCTGCACCAGGGATGACAAGAAAGCTATGTTCTAGGGCCAAAGAACAGAAAAGGGAGGGCAGCATGTCCAAGGACTTGTACCCCAAGTCACGCTTGGCCTGAGTAAGGGGACTTCTAGACACTTCCTATTGCAGCAGGAGTCTAGAAATTGCTCTTCCCATGGCAGGAGGAGGGAGGGAGACACACTCTCTATGAGTGGGAGAACCCCAACAGAGCACCAAGGGAAGGGAAGTGAGGCGGCTCCTGAGAAGACAACTCCTAACAATCTCTGTACACAGGAATATGGTTCCGTCCGATCCTATCGCCCTTTAAAAACGAATGGCACAAATACAGTATTGTAATCCCAACAATGGCCTGGACAGAACTCAGCCCTGTCAAAATGATGATGATTTCCCCCTATTGTTTGCTTTTAGCTCTAGATGACATTCCCCCAGAATCACAAAATCAGGAGCTTGGCATTTTCACCATTTCTACTGGTGAGAGCAAATTGGTATCAGTGCAGTCTGAATAACAGCAAAATAGCACCCTAGAGGAATGAGCCAAATGCTTTTGTATTGTACCCAGTCCTCTTTGGGGAACAGGCAGGAGGGGTCGATGCCAAATTCTCAGTGGGGTTGAGCCTTTCTGGCTGATTGCCCCAGTGAGGGGTGGGGAGCACTTCAAACTCCTGAATTCATTTTTATCCAAAGGAAAGTTTGAAAAGCTCTCCATCTCCAAAAATGGTCCTTTCCAATGGTTGTCCCAAAAAATATGTTCAAGAATGATTATAACCACTCACTAGGCAAGAGCAGAACCAATCCATTACCTTGAGTTTCATCTTGGAAAATGTATTGATGTCTGTGGGACCATGACAATAGCCTGAAGCCTCCTGAGAACTCATGTGACTCATCTCTGTCTCCCCCAGAGACCTGCACTCGGCTTTGCACAAAGTAGGCACACAGGTAGGAACAGGTGGTCTGAAAGCAGTCCTCTCCTGGGCTTTAAAACATCAAAAGAAAACCTCAAAAACAGACCAGGTAAAAATCCACGTCTTTCAGATAATCACCAGATGAATTGCATCTCTCGTTCTAATCAGTGACTCAACTTCCCTCCCCCATCCAACTGTCTGGTGTGGAGTTTATTATTCGACACCTGTTGGCAGTCTGGCTGGTTTTAATATTTGGGGGCACTTCGCATCAATATGCATCGATGTGTTGGATTGCTGGACGGCAGAAATTGCTCATCCTCAATTACTTCAATCTCCCCACGATGCCCGGAATAGTGTCTTGGTCATAGAAGTGACTCAATTCATGATTGCTAAACAGCCAATTTCATTTGTAATTTCCGAGACAGCTCCAGGAGGAAAGGCAAAGAGGACCAGTGTAATTAATAGATGGACTTGATGAATTTCTTTGCTTCAACAAATGAGTTGTGGAGCAGAAAGCCTCTGAGCCCTGCCTTGGGTAGGCAGGCTGCTGGGTACATCCACACACACCTGTTTGCCCGTGTCTTGAAACTGTCACCCAAACACAGTCACTTAGTCACTTCCACTTTCAATGCTTCCAAATAGAAGCAGAGTGGGAAGACTGTGCCCCAAGCCCCTCTCCCTCAGCCCAGAGGCCTTCACTGCAATTAGAAGGCATGAAGAGACTTTGGTGGGCATCAACTTCTAGCCCCATTCACTCATGAGCACTGTGGACAACTCTAACATGTGGTCACCTATTTTTTGATTTCACATTGCTTCTGACCATGAGCCAACAACCCCGACAGCCCATTCTATTCCAGTGGTCCTAACTGTTGGAATATGCTTCCTCAGGCTGAGCTGAATAACCGTCTACTATAACTACCACCCTTAGGTTTTAATTTTGCCTTCTGGAACCACATAAAATAAATCCTAAAGCCTCTTCCATGTGACAATGTCTTAAAGGGCTGAAGACAATATTCTTCAAAATCCACCCAAATAAGAACCTTCTTGTATGGTACTGTAACGAGCTGGGCATCACGCTTTCCTGTCAGACTGGTTTCAGAGCCTCCCTCCGGCAGAGTCTGGGAGGTGATATATGTCCACACTTTATTTACCGGCAGACAGAGAGAGCCCCTTGTTCCTTAGCCTGGTAACAACCGAGGTCGTTCATCACCCACTTGCTCCTTTTTGAAATTCACTCTGCAGCGAGCACTTTTTAAAGTCATGCACGTAATGCATTTTAAAGAGCATCTTCTGCTCAGCTCCATTTGCTCGACCTCGGCACTAAGTGCGAGATGAAACAGTATTTCAGTGCGGTCCTGCTCCTTCCTCCTGGAGCCTGTGTTGAACGTACACCAAAACGTATCTGTAACTAAATAGGACTGAGACTTGAAAATGCAGTTTTGTTAAATGTTAGTTTGCTGATTAAAATGCATCTTGCAAGGAAAGTGCATTGCTAATGCAGAATCTAGTCCAAAAATATGTATTATGTAATGCACACTTTTAATAATGCAGGCAATCTCAGTGTATCTATATTAGTGAATCAGCTCTGAGCTGCCATCACCATTATAGGCGTAAAGCACTCCATCTGAAAAATGAAGTCCTTTCTTATGTACACTGAAGAATCATAATCCGCCGTGCTGCTGACAGCTGGCATTAGTTTCCACTGAAAGGGCATTTACCAGCACCCACATATTCCTGATTTTTTTCCCCAATGTGTCCTGAAATCGGCTTGAATGATGTGTTTCTCTTCCACACACTGTCAGCGGGGTTGTGCTAATTGGAAGACATAAAGCAGGTGGGCCAATGTGGGCAGACCCTTTAATAACGTGCCCTGCTAGTCAGGGCTGCAAGACAGAGATCAGGATTTGAAATATATAGTTCCTAACACCCCTTCCAGTGTCCCACAGTAACATCCAATGATGACTAGAGACATGAGAGCACCTGTGATAAGTCCTTTCCATTTCCCTGGAAAGTGTTAGAGTAGGGCACAAACGGAAACACAGATTTTTGTCCTTCTGTGGAGTTTGAGAAATCAATCCCACTTTATTAGACCAATCAGTATTTTAATGCTACAACCTAATACACAGAGCACAAGATGTAAGATGGACATAGACAAGAGGCAGAAATGTAAACCTCAATACACTGAAAGTGGGTACTGGACTCTTGCTGCTGTCTGAATTCTGCGCATGGCAGCTTTAATGCAGATGTAGTACTGAGAATATGAGGATAAATTTCACCATGGTGATGAACAGCTGTGGGTGCACTACTGACTGTTTAGCTATCAGGAAGAAGCTCCAGGAGGGTATACCTGGCAGACTACCAAGAGCTAGGGACTCTTAAGTTTCTCCCCTAATGATTCAAGGAGAAAAGAACCCAACCCAAGACACATGTCTCAAGTGAAACAACCTTGCTGACACTTCCATGGATTCCAGGAAGAAGGTTTTGCTCTGAGTTGCATCACCTTTGGATTTGTCACTCTGACAAATGGGACACTCCATATTCAACAAGGAGGGCAAGACTGAAGACACATGCCCTAAAAGCAGCAATTAGGTTCTAGATGGAACTCAAGAGTGCCACTGCAGGGAGCCCCTCCTGGACACACAGGGTTCATTTGGTTTTCCAGAGTCAAGAAAGAGTGGTACTGAATTTTACTCCAAGTCTCAGCCTTTGTGGAATTCAGCAACACGACCTAGTGATATCTGGCCACCCCCTAGCCCTGAAGCTCCAGCTGATCCAATCATTCTCTCATGTAGAACTCAAGCTGGTCAAGCAATATTGGCTGGTCAGGAGGAATTCTGAGTCAATATTCAATTAACAGCTGACCAATCCAAACTATCCTTCCCTTGTTGTAAGACTTTATTTTGTTCACCACTCTACCTTCAGCACCTAGAACAAAGCTTGGCATGTGCTAGGCACTCCAGTATTGTGGAAGGAATTACCTTTGTTAGAAACCTACCTAAGAAATAGTTGAATAGTTGTTAAGGGGCACCAGGGAGGATTCCATGATAGCTGACCACCCTGAACAGCCCCCCAGGACCAAAGAAGCGGTAGTGAGGAATGACTGATAGGAAAGTCTCCCCTTTTCTGATGCCCTTAGCTCCAATCTGTCTACCAGCAGAGTCCTCAGCTAGTGCTCATGGCAGCCCTGGAATGGCTCGGCAGACTCCCAAACTACTACCACCACGGTGTGGGTCCTTCTTAAGGAAGATGCTTATTTTGCCATGAGGTAATTAGCCAATTCAGACTGCATGTTTTTTTGTTTTTTGGTTTTTTTTTTGAAACTTCTCTAATGACGGTCACTGTAATAGATCGTGAATAAGAACTGCGTGAGGTTACCATCCTTGGAAAATGCCAGGGGAGGCTGGATCATTAGCACTTATGTACAGATCCTTATTCCCCTGGATATTTGCAATTCTGCAGTCGTTTTGAGCTGCTCCGGGGCTGTGTTTACATCAGGAACAACCTGGAAAAGTTGGGGAAGGGTCCGACCCCATGGGCACCTATGCTAGCTGCCCAAGCACTCTAACCTGTGGCTAGCTCGTTCGTTGGCACCCTCCAGGCCTTCCGCCCGCCTCTTTGCCCAGTTCCTCTCAAACAAGGTTCCCTCCTGCCACCTGCCGGCCCACTAGAGTCTCGCCACGGGCTCGGCGCCACCTTGCAGTTCGCGGGGAGGCGGCCCCCACCTCCCGACTGCACATGCCCGGCAGAAGTCCGGGCGCGCAACTTCGCAGAACCTCACCGCCCATCTCTCCCGCCTCAGTCTCCTCTTTCCTCTCCAAGGCGAGAGGACCAGCGGAGGCACCTCTCCTGAGTCTTGGACTGAAGAGTCCGAGACTCGGCGAGAGGAGCCCAGGGGACAAGCCTTTTCTCCCCTTCCCATCCCTTCTTTTTTGCTCAGAGGCAAGCGGAGGCGCGGAGCCATAGAAAGTTGTTAAGTGGTCAGGAAGGTAGGTGCTTCCCATTTCCTCACCCCGAGGTGGGGCTGGGACCTCCGGACCCAGCGTCTCACCTCGCGAGGTGCACCCTTTCCAGGCTCCAGGAGCCAAGGCGCATCGGAGCCGCTCTCTGCAGAGCCAGAGGGCGGCTCGGCTTCCCGGAGTGCGCCTAAGAGGATGGATCGGAGGTCCCGGGCTCAGCAGTGGCGCCGAGCTCGCCATAATTACAACGATCTGTGCCCGCCCATAGGCCGCCGGGCGGCTACCGCACTCCTCTGGCTCTCCTGCTCCATCGCACTGCTCCGCGCCCTCGCCACCTCCAACGCCCGCGCCCAGCAGCGCGCGGCCGCCCAGCAGCGCCGGAGCTTCCTTAACGCCCACCATCGCTCCGGCGCCCAGGTCTTCCCCGAGCCCCCTGAATCTGAATCTGACCACGAGCACGAGGAGGCAGACCTTGAGCTGTCCCTTCCCGAGTGCCTAGAGTACGGGGAAGAAGAGTTCGACTACGGGACCGAGACCGAGTCCGAAATAGAGTCCGAGACCGACTTTGAGACCGAGCCTGAGACCGCCCCCACCACCGAGCCCGAGACCGAGCCAGAGGACGAGCGCGGCCCTGTGGTGCCCAAGCACTCCGCCTTCGGCCAGTCTCTCACCGAGCGGCTTAACGCTCTCAAGTTGCGAAGCCCCGACGCCTCCCCAAGTCGTGCGCCGCACGGCACTCAGGAGCCCCCCAGCCCCAGGGAGGGGGAGGAGCCCGAGCCCGAGGACAAGGATCCGAGGGACCCCGAAGAGTCCGAGGAGTCCAAGGAGGAAGAGAAGCAGCAGCAGCGCCGCTGCAAGCCAAGGAAGTCCACCCGCCGCGACCCGTCCCCGGAGTCCCCTTCCAAAAGGGGCCCCATCCCCATCCGGCGTCTGTAATGGAGGACGCCGTCCAGATTCTCCTTGTTTTCATGGATTCAGGTGAGTTGCCCATCGCTCAGCTGGGGAGCCCGGGGGCGGTGTGGAAGCAGCTGGAGGAAGGAGGGAGACGGAAAGACCGGTTAGCACACGGTGGGAACGGTGGGCTCTGCGAACCAGACCGGGAGCGGTGGTCAGGGTGAGCGGGCGATGCGCCCCAAATCTTCCCAGGACGCCGGGGGCGCCCCGGGTGCCAAAGGCTTGTTGGACGGCGGGGCGCCCCGGACGCGTGACTCAATCCCGGACGCGCCCCAGGTTTCCAGATGCGCACCCAAACGGCACTGGTAAGTCACTTGCTTTACGCACTTCTTTTCCTTGCTAGAAAGACTAGTCTTAAGCGACTTGGTCTTACAGGCGCCCGAAATGTGATTCGGAGGTGCGCGCCAACTTTCACGATTCCGGAGCAGCCGCGCTGTAGCGACACTGTTGCAATGTGCAAAAAGTAACCCCGTAATGGGATTGGGCGAGAACTCCTGAGACTGCCGACTCTGGGGGAAGTCGCACGCGCGCCGCGGCGATTGAGCGGCTCAGAGCCTGGAGCCCAGGTCCCCGTACTGCCGGTTTGCAGCTGCGGGACTTTGGCGCCAAGGGTCCCCCGCAGCCGCGCGTCAGTCTTGGCTTCACTGCCTGCCTCCGGGCGCTCACCGGCCAGAGACCGCCGCAAAGTGCGTGCGCACCTGTCCGCGCCCCGGAGCCGACCTCTCCCGGCAGGCCGGCGGTTCCTCGGCAGTTGCAGCTACTTGGAGGGCAGGCAGGAGAGGTACAGGGACCCTTGGGGGTGCCCCTACGGGTTAGCAGGGTCGAGGGCACAGGCTTGGTTACGTCGGGGCATTGCCAGCCTCTTAGCGCGGCTGGTCAGGCGGTCGGGCTGCGTGCAGCTTAGCTGGAGAGGTCCTGGGCTTTTGCGCCAGACCCTGGAGGCGGGAGAGAGGCCCTCGAGGTGGCAGCAAGCGGAAAGGTAAGGAGGAACAAGGAACAGACTGGAGAGGGGGCGGCTGCATCTATCGCGTACAATGCCTCCCTAAAGAGGTCGCATCCGCCGAGCTGGGGAAAGGTGTTGGATCCGGCACCAGTTCTTGGGTGATAGATCGAGAGGGGGCAGGGGCCCATGGCTTCGGCAGTCTCAGGGAAGGGGAGGCGGCGGGTTCCGGCCATTTTCAGCTTGGGTGGAGCTAAGTTTGGAATCTTGTTACCTGGAGGGGAAGCTTCCCTGGTGACCCAGCACAAAAACGGCCGCATTCTCTAAAGCACCTTCAGCGCGGAAGAGCGCGCCTTCCTGCCTTCCTCGCCAGTCCTGGGGGGAAAGGCTCATAAGTGAAGCGTATTTGCAAAATTTCACCCGACTTGGAAATTGATTAAAATTATTATTTTTGGCGCATCTCGTTTTGCCCGGCTTGAGTTATTCTGATGAGAATGATTTAGGGGAAATGTAAAGCGCTTTAACGGCTTGAAATCAAAGACGGTGGGGTTCTTAGACTTCTAGAAGGAAGATACTTTCAGTGGTCATCCTTCCAGGTCCGGTTCCTAGGAAAGGCGTTGCAGCACTCCAGAACTTAGTTCAGCGGCTGTGGTGGGAACAGTGGTCTTCAGCAGAGGCACTGAGAAGGCAGTTTGCAAGGGGTTTCCCTCGCAGCATGTTAGTGTAGAGAGTCTGGAGGCTGCAAAAGGGCCGGGTGTGCCCTGCTTTGGGTTTGAAGCTCTGAAATTGCCTAAGAGAAAAGAAGCCCCCCTAAACTGAACTTCTTGCTTACTACATAAAGGTGATGGTGTGTTGCATTCTATAATGCCAAGCGTTCTGCTTTTCCTCTGGTAAGGTCTTAGTAGCCGGAGTTAACCAAGCAAAAGGTCTCTGGAGACAGGCAGAGAAGCCAGGGGTTTTGTTGAATTTTTTGGTGTGCTTTTTAAGTGTGGGAGCCATCTTCACATACTGGGGAGACTGGGGGACCTGGTTTCCCACAGAGCGAGGTTTTCAGGACAGAAATTGGCATGCTGGCTTGTGGAAGAATGAATAAACAAGTTTGTTAAAGTCCTTGGTGTCCAGCCCACACCTCACACCAGTCTTGCTGTTTTTTAAACAGAAGCCTGCGCCAGTTTTATATGGGGGGGGGGTCCCCCCAATCTAGGGACACGCAAATAGTTTACTCTTTCAGAACTGTCTTCCACAAACTGCCTCAGAGTCTGAGTAGAGGTTATCTGCATTATAGCCAAGTGTGAAAACCTGCTACCCACCGGCGCACACACTCCCCCACTTAGGGATGTCCCCTCCCCCAGCCTCCCTCTTTCCCCTTGACTCTAGGAGAAATCTTTACGGACAACACAAAGCAACTGAGGAATATTCCAAGCACCCATGACCCACTCTAAGAGAGGGAATTTTGCTATTTAGACTCTTCAAAACTTTTTTGCTTAAGACACTGGAATTCAGCTGCCTTCCTTTTCCAGAAACGTTTCTAGAAGTTCTGCAGGCATTCCTAACTCACCAGGCTTCCAGCTGGTCCTTTGTTGCACCTTGAGCTGGGTTAGCATCTGAATAGACTCCTTGCCCTTTTAAACATAGGTGAAGTCTGCTGAGTGAGGATATGCTCTCAAAAAAACACACCTTAAGGTTAACCATACAGGTGAATTACCAGGCAGATAAAGATTTCAAGTGGGGGGGGGGGGGTGAGGAGGAGAATAAGGCTAGTTCAACATGATGGAATGCCCCAATATTTAAGTATTTTTCTTTACTACACTGGTCATTTGCTTAACGGAAATTTGCCTTTTGGGGGGAGGGCAAAGGTGCTCTTGTAACTGAATGTTTATGAGTTGGAAAATTATGTAGCAATGTTCAAAATATTGTGTGTGTCTACAACCTGATGCAGGTTTAAAGTTTTGCAAACAAAACTTTTAGTCTGTTTATCAGAATTCAGGAATTGGAAATGTGTTAATGTTTGGAATGGTCTTACAGTAATGTTCCTTCGATGCACTAGAAGGCTTTTTGTTTTACCCTGGAATTGCTAACAGCCCTTTCCTCTTTAGCCTTCATTTTTAACAGCTGTGATAGAAGGTTTAATGGGGGAAGAAAGCAGAAACTTCAGTACTGTAAAGAATGAGGTTTAAAAAATAAAAAATATTTTAAAAATCTGCATGAGTTTTACTTGATTGATCAGTATTATCAGTGCTCTTCTAGAAGAGGGAAGCGATAGAAAACTGATCAGAAGCCCTGTGTAGGGAGAGCATGTCTCTTACAGGAAGGTGACCATCACAAAAGCCAAATCACTAAGATCAAGTCAAGCATCCAGCAGCTAGTGATGTCACGTGCCAGCTTCCCTAAAAGCTGCCCAGCTGAAGGGTGAGATGCTCAAATGACATCTTTTACCCCTCCAAACTCCAGAATGGGGGAGGGGGGTGGTGGAATTTCTTGTTCTGCTATGGAGTTTTGATATCAATGACTCTACATCCTCAATCTTCATGCCCCAGACAGGGGCAGTGGGACCCAAGACAGAAGGCACCAGGTGGCCTCAGTCAAACCCAGCACTCCTCTGCCTCAGTTTCTTCTAAAAAGAAGTCGCTGATTGAGATGCTGCCATTATCCCTTTCAGTTTCAACTGTGTGCAGGCCGAGTTTAAAAAGTCTAGAGTTGCCGGGTTTGGCTCTATATTAGGGATCTTAACACTAATGGAACCCCCAAAATGATAACAGTTGATAAAATAAAAAGTACCAGCTGTGAAGAAATCTGTTTCTTGTTGGTCTAATGTCAGTTTTGTCAAATCTGCCTTTCAACTGGTGGCAAAAAATGGCAGGTTAGAGAACAAAGAGTTCTACTGTGTCCTGTCCTGAAACTGGACAAAACTGGCATCCTTGAGCAGTATTTAGTGTTTGCTGATGTGTGTCCCTTTCCCCCACCTTCTCTCCCTGACCTGAGTGTCTGAGAACAAGCAGGCAGCATGGTTCCAAGTACTGCACCTCATACGGCAGCTTGGAGTCGCTAGGCACTATAGGAACCAGCAAATTGATGGGAACATTGGTTAGGAGACCACAAGTTACTATATATTACTTGGTAGCAGTTTTAAGTGTCCTGATTGGAGACAGACCTGAAAAAATGGCTTAGAGGCTGCAGCTAAGATAAACCTGCCTTCAACCTTTTTTTTTTCATTATCACTCCCCCAGCTTCGTTATTTTTTCTTAGTTGTTTCCCCTTCCATGACATTTTCATACCACAGTTTATATACTGATATAATCTGTTTATGTGCTGCAGGACCCTGTAATAGCTAAGTTTTTGAGCACACCCCCAAAACCAATTCTGCCTCCATTGTAAATGCATGGGATAAACAAATTAAAAACAAACAAACAAAAACGCTGGTTCTGTCAGATTAAGTGCTTTAGCACCCACCTTTGTTTTACAATTTAACCTCTTACTTTCCCACATATAAAGAGGCCATATAAGTGTATGTGGGGAGGAAAGTAAATTTTTACTGGTGTTTTTCCTTTCTAAAATTCTCATGGGCTTGCTTTTCAAAAGCCCCCAATGGCTATGCTGGGCCATGTACTAGTGCCCGGTTAATTCACAGGGCACCGAAGCCAGAGTAAACAGCCTAGTGACTCAGTTCTCCTAGGGCCAAGAGTCTACAGTATAGGGCCACCGTCACCTGTTGACAGAGCTCAGCCAGCAGAGGCAGGACACCCAAGAGGAGCTGGCGCCATTACCTCCTCCTCCTGCAACTATTCCCAGGTAGAACTGGTAAGGCTGCCTTGACACTTCAAGTGTGGGTATGGCCTGTATGTTTATGCTATGGGCTCATTTCACGGTGAGTGGGTTACAAATTAGCAGGGGGACATGGCCATCAGAAAGGCCAGCCTGAGCTTAGGCTTTGTGGGCAGAGGGTAGGTAGTAGCAGTAACATGGGGACAGATTTGAGAAAGACAAATGGACAAGATTTTGAGGGATCACAGAAAAAAAAGGAAGCTGTAGGCAGACAACAGAACCCCGGGAAAGAAGCAGACGAGAAGGTTTAGAAATGGGG